GTTTTAGCGTAGATAATATTTTTTTAAATTTGGACTAGTTTCGTAGCCCAATATTAATTTATTTTAGCGGGGTTTTTTTTCGCGCTCCAAGCACCCGCGCGCGCACATACAGACTAGAAAACACGCAATCAGAAAGAGAGAAGGCGGAACTTAAGGCAGAATAATCAGAGTTAAACCGCGCAGCACAGTTGATGCGCTGCTATGTGAAAGGGAAAGGAAAGAGCAGGCAGCTGCAGCTACCAGGCAGAGAAGCTGCGAGAGGAAAAGAAGCGGCTGCTGTATAGTAAATTATAAACATGTTGTTTACATCCAATTATTGGTAGGGACAAATAGGTCCTTCCAAAATTTTGGTAGGGACATGTCCCTATGGTCCCTATGCAAACCTACGCCCATGAATAATAATCAAAACACAGCTTGTTTGTGTTTCCCATGATTCAAACTAGTTAAAAATAATGAGACAACAAACGGCCAATGTAGTAATGATTTTTTTTATTTATGGACTTCGTTTCATATTTCTGACAAGACTAGCAAATTATGTCATTTTAATCAAGAGAAACCAAACGTTGGTATATAGTAGTCAGAAAAACCAGTCAGAGAGAGAAGTTGAACAATCTTTGGATTCTTTTTCTGATAGCAACAGATTTTTTACTTACACCTATAGATAAATAAATACGTAAACATTTCAAACATTTCCTATATATTGTCCTAAATAGTTTTTTTCTGTTTTGTGGTTGTTTTACAGTCACAAACTAAAACAGATATTTAGAAAGCAGTCGATGTCTCGGCATTAGTGTTTATTCTCCATCATGTAGTTGGTGATAAAGTCATACTTTCCAGATTTTTCATAAACCCTGTCATGGCGTCTTAGTGGGTAATAATAAAACAGGGCGTGATGGGCTGATTCACTCTGAGACATATGGTTGTAAATACATCCTTGAAGCTGTGATGACCTAACTGTTGGATTCATTTGGAGACATTGAATCCTTTTTTTTTGTTTCTTTATATCTGCAGCTTTTATTTTGCCACGTTCACACATTGATCCAGTCATACAGAAAAATGAGAACATTTCAGAGCATATGCTTGTCCTAAAAAAACATCAGAGAGAGAAATTCAGGAAGCATGCGGTAAACATATGGCGCACGTTGAGAAGTACAGAACCAGTGAAGCCACAGAGCCATCCTGGTGCTTTTCTCACATCCTCTTAATCCTTTCTCTGCTTAGACTGGAGGCTGTGGTGTAATTCAGCTGCTGCCTCAGACAGAATCAGCCATCGTATCAGACTGTGTGGCAGAAAGGGAAAGAATATGTCAGACATTGGGCTGCAGAAATAATCCTAATGAAGCCACATGTCTTTGTTTCAGAAGCGATGGGTGCGCCTTCTAGCTCTGATGACAGCCCTTCATGTAAACATGTTTCTGTTTTAATGACGTAGCCCAGATGACTAATGCTGATGGATCTAAATGAAGATCCTCTTAGGTTATTTGGGATTTGATCGCTACATAAAGTGACATGTATCAGCAGTTTTTACAAGAGAATGAAGGAAAAGCAAAATAAAGATCTCTATGTGGGAAACAAGGAGGATTGTTTTTATTTTATTTAATCTGCAGCTACCCGTACAGGGTATTCAGCAGAAAAAAAGTCTTCCACCCCCCATCTGGCTCAATGAAGACAGAAAAGGGTTGTTTAGATTAGCTGCATTTCCATTAACCACCAAACTGCGCAATTTTACGTTACAGAAACGAGAAAGACTGCTACTTAAAAAAAAAAGTTTTTTTTTTTTTGGGATAAAATGTTTTTACAGTTAAATTGGGGGGGTAATCACATTGAAATGATTTTAATTTCAAAAACTAAAATCTGAAATTTGTGAATAACAAAGCAGAATGAGCTGTAGATGGAGGATGATGCCTATTATATATAGACTGTTATATATTCACTTAAAATTATATATTGTATTTCTTATTTAATAGAAGTACCGCAATTGCGAAGATTTTTATTTTCAAAATTAGCAGAATATCGACATAGTTTTGCAAACATTTGTAATGGAAACACATCCAATAATCAGTCAGTTATTATAATCATAGGGAAATTATATTACATTTGATTATTTAGTGGTACATTTATTAATTTCCCTTTACATTTCATTATTTCATGGTACATGTATTTATTTCACAATACTTCTACATTTATTTATTTCATGCAATGTTTATTCATTTCACTTTGTCTCTCTGTAACCCTATGATCACTACAGTATGCTCAGTGGAAGGACAAAAATCATTACTTTAAAATCTCATAATAGAAATTACTATAATGCAAGTTGCATATATATATATTTTTTTAATCATTGATTTTTCTCAGCTGCAGGGGAAAATTAATAATATTTTTCCTCTAACTGAGTGAAGTTGCTGTTTATTCTGCAGCAGATTGTGCCACAGCTTTACTCTGTTGTTGCTGCTGGTGCATCAGGTCAGTGACATCAGTGCGGGCTATTTGTTTCCAAATGCTTTGGCAAAATGGCCGTGCATGACACAGTGGGAATGAAAGATTCATTGTCCTCGGTCTGGGTCTGGGGTGATGCTCTTTGTCAATCCGAGGGTATTAAGAGTCTTTTCTTGACCATGAGGGCTGGTGGGATGGAGCAGGAAAGGGAACGGCTGAATTTGCGCCTTTTCTGCTACTTCTCTGTTGCTGAAGAATCAGCTAAGCCAAAAAACAAACAAAACAGATTTACTGGCCTGGTGTTGGTCATTAGCAAAAGAAGATTCTAGATTCAAGCATCTGGAATGAAGTTTTATCCAGACATTGGCTGAGCTATTGGTTCTGCTGCTTCTTTGCATCAAAGAATCAGCTAAGGTGTCTGCAGGAACTGATCAAGGTGCGTCCAGCATGTCCTTTGATATTCTTTGGTCTTCCAACTTGATGGAGAACCAGGATGAACGGATGGATGAATACATAGGTGGCTAACAACAGCGGTTTATCCGTGCAGAGCCATCAAGCAGTAGTTTGAAGTGACTGACTTTACATTTCTAACTTGTGCCTTACTGAAGCTTTTCTGCAGTGTTTTTTCAGCGTCTGGTTTCACAATAAAAAGATCTTTCCAAATGGGTCAAACCTCCATCGGCCACATGTTCTCTCTAAATCTCTTTGTCATGCTGGTGCTTAGAAAAACAAAATGATTCATGCAGTTTTTACGTTTGACAGAGATCCAGGTCTGGGCTCAGAGCAATGAGCTACAGTGTCTTCAACTGTTTCATATTAACGTTTCTGAGAATTTCACAATAAAACTTGGCAAAAAAAAAAAAAAAAAGATTCCCAAATAATAAACAACTGGAAGGATATTCCATGATACTTCTCAATAAAGACCAGGTATATCCTGTTTATGTTTAAATACATGATGGCTGTCCTGATTAGATGGCCTCTGTACACACAGTGTCATCCACCATGTGAAGGAAGGCCTTCTACTCTGTCCAATCTGGCTAACAGAATAACAATGCACATGATGTATAAAGAATAAACCTAATAGAGGTCTCCTCATTAGTTTATGGGGTAGGGTAGAAGAAATGAAATGCATCAGCCTCAAAAATGGTGGTGGCAGAATCATGTTGTGGGAATGCTTTTCTTCGGGAACAACGTATCTGGTTAGAGTTGACCAGAAAATACTTTTATGAATTTCTGGGACAAAAAATCTGCCAAAAGGTACACTCTGATGAATATTGAATATGAGCAGATTCACTTAAAACACAAACATTGTAAACTACTTTCCTCCTACATTTTCGATATTTTATGTGTGCAGATTTAAGACCATGATGTCCCAATATGTCACAAACATGAGTCCATGTTCTTTCTTTTGCTTTTTATAATTCTTTAGATTCTCTGCTGATGTGGACCCCTTTCTGTGGTTTATGTCAACTTTGAGGTTGAAACCAACCCGAGAAAGTGAACTGTTAATGATTGACTCCAAAACTACATTGTATGAAAATTATTAATGATTTTTCTGAAAGAATTGGCTGTGTTTTACATTCACTCTTTTAAACTGCTTGGCTAGGTCATAATTGGACATGCTCAATGCGCTCCAGCAAAATATGATTACACAGTTTTTTTTCTGTATTTTTCTTTTTCTTTAGATTATGCATGAAATGCAAAAAGTACAATGAATATATATATCTATAGATCTAGATCTATAACTATATGTATATATGTATATATATGTATGTATATATATGTATATATGTGTATATGTGTATATGTATATATGTGTATTTATGTATGTATATATATATATATATATATATATATATATGTGTATATATGTAGATATATACATACATGTGTGTGTGAGATTTGTTTCTGTTTATAATATTAATATCTAATAGCAAAATATATAATATTTTGGTCTATACAACCAACAACATTTTTTTATATTATATAACTTCATGTACATATTTCCTCCAGTATGACATTTAAATGGTTTTGATTCTAAATATATATATGTAATCTAACTGAAAGGTCATAAAAATAGTTTTTTACTTTCCAAGAGGTTATGACATGTAAGAGATTGTGAAATTATCATTGACTTGTCTTACATGTTATTAAAATCACATTTAAGTTGCCTCCTATTCATTCTGAAAGCAACTGTCTGAATTATGGTCTGACCCAAGATGGCTGCCTTCTAGCCTCTTCAGCCTATAGCTCCCAGCAGCGTCTGATTGGGCGTCAATGTATTGATGTCTGTTGACCAAGTGCTCCATTTTAGAGTTGAAATCTGACTTTATATCCACAATTTATAAACAAAGCTGTACATAACAGGGAAATACCAGTAGTTGCAAACTAGCTGAAAATTTAAATTTCTGTGTTCAATTATTAACCGGAGTTAATTCAAGCTTCACTTTCCTCAGTGAACAGTGAAGCTACCATTAGCTTAGCTCATACAAAGTTCCAGTTTTAACATGAATCATTTAATCATTACTTCACTTAACAATTTTAATTATTATTTCTGTTCCCAGGTTGGTGGTTCGTCAGCACATCTGAGCAGCAGGGATGGGTCCCGGCCACATACCTCGACTCCCAAAATGGGACCAGAGACGATTCAGATCTGGCCACCTCCAGGACCGGAGAAGGTTTGTGCACTGAAACATTATTACTGTCATAAAGCACAAAAACACATAAACGTCAGCATGGCAGACTCGCTGTGGGGGAAATGTCTGCATGGAAGACGCAGACATTTCTCAACCGTGATGTTTTTCCTGTGTTTGTTTTCCACATATAAATCTGAGGCTGAAAACAGCCTTAAAAAGTTAATCCTAAACACACCTCCAGCCACACATTCGGATCCTTTGAGGCTGTAGTCGCAGCATTATGGTGAAAGGGTACCAGACAACAGCCAAACAGGCTGCAATACTTTGGCACCAGAGAGAATTCCTCCCAGTTTCCCCAGGAGGCTCCAACTGTGCAGGAACCTCGTTTTGTTGTGACCCTTTTCTCCCAAATGTTTAGTCTGAGTGCTGACATGAAGCATTTCACCACTGTGTCACAACACTCCCCCCATTTTGTGCTTTTAGAGTGAGGGAAACTCATTGAGATATATAACGTGCAAACACACAAGTTTGCATACATGTCTGCTGCTCAGAAATCCTTATAAAACTTTTATCTGAATGCAAACAGTTTATTTCCTGCAATAAATCCAGAATGCTGCAATAGTTTATTGGGATGTCAACTGCCTTCCGATTAACATTTTCTCTCTCGCTACACACTTTGCTGGTTTTTGCAGATCCCGCAAACCCCTTTTGGCTAGAATAATGACAGCTCCTTAACAGGAGAAACCAAAACATACATATTTTTTTGTCTTTAAATGCTTCATAAATTCAAATCTTAAATTTCAAATAATGTATAGCAGTCAGACACTTTAGAGCTAGATTAATCTTTGAAGGAAGTTTTTACTAGGTATATACAGAGAATGTTTTCCAAATTTGGAGAAAGCTTTTCAAATCCATGAAAACAGGTTTTACCTTTCATAACTGTCATTAAAGTATTTGTTAACTCAACTGATACAGATGACTTCGGAGTTTTGTAGTTAGAAAAGGTGTATACAAAATACAGTAGCAGTCATAAGTTTGGACTCAACTAAATTTTTTTCTGTTTGGATTTGATTGCCAAAATTAAACTCACAATATAGCCCTGGTTTATTTTTAATCACAATAGGACCATTGACAAAATAAACTGAGAAGTAAACTGAGGAATAGCATATATAATGTGGTTGATAAACCATTTAAATTTTCGACCCAACAAATAGCCTCATTTAGCTTTTATAACTGCTTAAAAAACTCCAGTCATTCTTGAAATCCAATTGTCACTAGAAATTTCTACATGTCTTTCTGTCAACATCATAGAGGTTTGCAGAATTCCTGGGTCCTTTATTCTTGATTTTTCAAGTTCATTTTGTACCTTTTTGTTCTGGTAAAGGTCAGGGGTTTAGCCAAGTCTTCATCTTTAGCTTTACTCCTAATCTTTCTTGACTGAATACCTCTGTGCTTTATTGCTGTATTATGAACGGCTGTGCCATTAAACACAGCCTACAGTGAATGGCATGTAGAGTACCTGTGCCATCATGGGTCTGACCTCTTGATTAAAACACCCCTAGACCGCCACACTACCTCCACTGTACTTAAATGGGGAACAAAACATACAGGAGTGAAGCGTTCCCCAAACATCTGCTAAAATTTGAAACTTTGTCTCATCTTTAAACAAACTCTGTCCGGCTTTCATAATGGTAGTTTCCTTATGGTTACTTGTCCTTTCAAACCAGATTCCTGTAGTCTATGCCGTACAGTTTCCACTGAAACATCACTGCCTTTGGTTGAGTTCCACTGAGCTCTTATTTTTGGGTCTGCCTTTAATCTATTCCAAAGACTGGTGACTCTGATAAAGGAAAGCCAACTTAAAGGTATAGAGGACAATCTTTTATTTCCAGGTGGATCATCTAAACAAGTGGTTCCTAACTGTCAATTTGCTGTCACAGCGGCCCGCTGTCACTACCCGACAGCAACGACTAATAACAAAGATGGCGCAGGCACCGCGCAGTGAAAGAGGAGTTATGTAACCAACAAAGTAAAAAGTAGTGATCATCTGTCTGAACGGTCAGTTAACTGAGTTCAATTTAAAGTCCCTTATACAGTCCCCGCTCAATATAGTGATTGAGGGATTTAGGGGTTAGTGCGGACGTTTGGGCACAGTAAGCTTGTATAAGCAACTTTCTTAATTATGGCATATTGTACAGTTTTGAGCTTTGTCTTTTATAATCTGAAAAAAGTTGAGTTCTCATCACTCATTAAAATCCTCCTTTCTTTATATAAACAAATTCTCATGTGAATTGGCAACAAAAATCCCAGAAAGCTAGATTGTTGATTGTTCCAGTCGATGAGAGAAGCGTTTATTCTCTGGTTAGAAAATGTGCTAATAACTTAATTTTGCTTTCATGATCTACTGTAATGATTGAAAGAGAAGGGTAAAAAAACAAGTAAAAGCTGAGTAATATCTCAGCAAGTATTGATGCAAGACTTCATCAAAGCTACAATTATCAGACCTAAGATTGGCGTTGACCTGAATCAATACTCAGCTTAATATTACCTGGGCAGTACCTCCACTTTTAGTACCTCTGTGTTTGCACACATCATTCCTGATCTCCTTCCCTCAGATCACCTTTTACATCTTATTATCTCCATGTGGTCTGTAACCTAATTCCGCTGACAGCCTGGTGCGCTGGAGAGAAACCGACAGGCACATCTCTGCTGATATTACCTCGAAATAACATTTCCTCTCTATGCCTGAGCTGATATTTCAATTAGGAGGTCAAAAAGAGCAAGGCGGAGAACAGAGGGATTGATGCTGAGGCAAAGAGGAACCAGAAGAAAGGCGTTGACACATACTAGAGACAGAAAAAAAGGGCAGGACTGATGCTGAAAAGACAGACAATAGGAAGTCAAGAAAGAATCAAAGATGAGGAAAAAAAAGAAGTTGTTCAGTTAATTAGATCTCCACATTTCTAAGACAGATAAAAGACAGAAAAGACCTAGATTAATTGGTTAGACTGCTGCAGGTTAGAGTGGCGGTAATCTCCTTCTTTTTATGTTGATTCACATATGTTAACATTTTGGAGCTTCCTTCAGAAGCTGAAGCAACAACCTCATCACCTTAAATCCAGTTGCAGAGATCCATTTGTCTTTTAGTTCTCTTAGCTCTTTCTAAAGAACAAAATCCTCAAAATCCTTGAGCTCTATAAAGGGCTCTAACTGCTCTAAATTAGAGCTGGTGTGAATACCCAGAGGGCATTAAGGTTTATGGTTTCTTCATCTTGTACAGTGCGCTCCTAATCTGAAAAAATAATAATGCAAAGCAATGTACCCTGCTCAGAACAGACAGCCCTACCCTTAGACAAGCCTTCCTGGAGCCATTTTGTTTAAAATAGCATGTGGTAGTAGAACATCAGCTCTCCCAAAGAAGTCACCTCCTCAAGATACCAAGGCATGCTGGAGAGAGGAGTTCAGTTTGGTTATGGTGTGAGCTATGAAGTCAGGATTCTGCCAAAGTGCTCAAACGTAATGCTCATTCAAGCAGTTTTACTTAAAACAGACAAATGCTCTGAGCATGTGTCTGAGACACGAGCTACGAACTACTGTCCACATGAATGTTTTATGTCTGCAAATTCAATGCCATGAAGTTTCCAATTTGTGGGTGCACACATTGGGCCCTGTTGTGCTCTCATGTCAAACTTTGACACAACCAACCTGAGGGAGTAAATTGCCTGTGATTGGTTACTTTTCAGGAAATCCCAACTCTCAGGACATCTAGGGACCATCAATGTACAGTACTTTTTGAGGTGCTTTGTGGACAGTTCTGAATGTGCTACTTTTTCATCCGGTAGACCCCTACAAAAGGGTGTATCACCTATATAGTGCTGTAGGAAGGGGTTAGAGCTTGACTCTAGTGATGTAAAGCTTGGGTCAGTCTGCTCAACAAAGCTTGAACCCTTTTGAAGCAGAAGTGTCGCTGAGAAGTGCTTTGGGCACACCCCAGTCAGTGATTGCGAGTGAGGCCTCGTCACATCACACTTCATGTTGAGTTTAACAGTAAATTTTAACAGTCTGGGCGGTCCAATACTACTGAAGTATTTGAATGTTTCAAAATCACGTTTCAAAACATGTTTTGTTTTCCATTTACACTTTTATTCGAAGACAGGGAAAGATATTTTAGATTTAGGTCAAGTTTGGAATTGATTCAGAGTAGTTTGCTACATACACATAGATCTAGATCATCGGCACCGACACACACATCACAGACTTGCACATGTCTGTTCTGCCATATAGAGTGAGGACCATGTGTTGACTCCAATTGACTTCCATTGATTTTCAGTCATTTTCAACCCTCTGTACGCCCTAACCTTAAAACTAACCCTAAACCTTACCATTATCAATGCATAACTCACCCTAACGCAATTGACACCGTAGCCCTAAACATAACCGTTAGCAAAATATCGTCTGAGGACCTGCAGAATGTCCTCACTTTGCAACAATTGCTCCTTTATTGTGATGGTGAAATGGGAAAAAATGGTCCTCACTCTTGTTTCTATACAAGTTCACCTATACCCACCACAGTCATCCACTGATTCATTTTTACCAGATGTTTATACATAAAGAAAAAGTTGAAATGTGTGTGGCTGAGTAAAGTGACAAAGGGACATGAAGGGAGAGCCAGGGAGATACATAAACCACTACACTATTTACTTATTGTTTATATTTCTCCTTTATTACAATCATCTTCCTCAGTCAGAGCCACAGGAGGAATGTGGAGAACCGGTGGGAACTACTGGACAGCAGAGTTGGTTTGAATAATTTAAATGATCAGAATGATCTCAACTAGATAGTATTATCATTATGAATAAATGCCGTAATACAGAGCGTTCTGAACCCGAGCACTGCAAAAATGTATGGCCCAGTATCCTGAAGAGGCTTTTGGAGGTTTTTCTGCAGCTCCTTTATGTGGCAGTCTACTCCGTACAGCCATGCACCATCCAGGGAGACTTTTCCTTCAGAAAAAATATCACAATTTCTGATTGAAATGTTATCATTCCCAATGATTATTATATAACACCTTTGTTGCAGTTTATTTTGTACTTGCTAAATGATCAATGTGGTTTACACTAACGTTGCTCAATCGAAACGGTAAGTGTTAAAAGCTTCAAAATAAAAAAACCAAAGTGCATAAAATTGTGCTTTGAAGTGCGTCAAACAAGTTCCAATTTCCAGTGAATAAAGAGGTTTCTACTCCGTAGTCCTTCATTTTTGTACTTTTTTTGCTCCTAACACCAGTTTATTTCCTCACTTTGCCAAACCGCTTCTTATACTAATCACTTATTTGCAACTTTTCTTTTTTTTTGTTGTCTTTTGGTTGCTGCTGCTCACCATCAGTCACTAAGAGAAGGAAGGCTCATCTGAAGAGGCTGGACCGCCGCTGGACCCTCGGTGGTATCGTTAACCGCCAGCAGAGCAGAGGTGAACATGCATACACGCCCCCCACCAAGAAACCTGCAAAAAAAGAAGTGAATGGAGAATGAAACAAAGATTGAAAGATACACCTTATATCTCTTATGATAGAGCAATCTCACACATATTCAGTTAAAAATCCATAAAGACATGGCTCAATCAGGAACAGTGTGGTTAGATTTCTTAACATTTGCATACAGTTGTGGGAATGTGTGAATTAAAATACATTTTTAGAAATTGTTGAATTTTTCAATTGGAGCTTGCAGCAGAAATATAATTTAGGGTTGAAACGAGTCCGTTACAGTTGTCCTCTACCAGGCTGTTCCTACATAATTGCAGGCAAAGTTCTGTGATTTTTCTTTTTTTTTTTCCTAGATTTTTTCATAGGTTGGTAAAAGACCTACTGTATGCACTACATCTTATGTCCTCATAAATCATCCTACTGTAGGCTTTGTTTTCATTTTTTACTAAGTCGCTCTGGAGATCTTCAAGGACTTTCTATAAAGAAAACTGTAAATTCCAAATTGGTTACACTTAACTTATTTCAGTCTGAGATTTATTTTCTCAAAACTATTGTCTGAAGGTCTGTTCAATCTGTCAAGTCTCCTACGTAAGGTAGAAAGGAAATATTCAGCAGAAGGTTTTGTGTCTCTGAGTTAAACCTGTTTGTCAAATTAATAGAGTGGAAATAGAGTCTACAGGGGAGGAATCTCCATAACAAAAATTGTTCTGCCAGCCTTTAATATACTCAGCATCTTCCTCCTCCTGTTAACTCCATCACGGCTGCCTTGTAATCTATGTCTTATTTCAGCAAACGTCTTCGCTTTAGATGCGTTTCCACCAATGTTTATTGAAGTATCGCATTAGATGAGCTTGATGGAAACAAGTAACATTTAAAATCAACTTACTAAATTTTGCGGAAAACTTTTTTTCCCCGCTTATTTAAAGTGGACTTTTAAAAAAATAAGAGGAGATGGAAACCAGTTCTGATGTAGCGAATGTTTACCTCACATGACTGATCAGCTGTTTCTGCTACCAGCTTCCCGTTAGAATCACACAGCAGCAGTGCACACTTCCTTTGCATCCTTGCCTCCACACTATTCGGGGTTGTACCAGTGACTGTAAATTTGGAAGTCAGGGCTCAGATTAGTTTTCCCCTGATGTGAGCCCAATCTGATCTTTTCCTTCACCCATTATATCCTTTCTCAGCTCACGAAGAATATCATATGGTTACCTGCATCGGGTTTCTGCCTGAATCCTTAAAGGAATAGTACACCCAAAACATGATTAGCCTTCATTTTCTACTCACCCCCATGCTGAACAACACTCTGGAGTACTTTTTTGATATCTCAAATGCATCTGGAGATCTGGGAGGCTTCTTGCTGTCTGCTGACATTCAAATAATGGAGGTCCATGGCGCCCGAGACAGAAAGGTCCACAAAAGTCCACAAAAACGTGTCAATATTCCTCCATACTGCTCGTCCAATGTAATCCAAGTGTCCTGAGTGGGTAGCATCCAGAATTTACTCGAAACGAAGTCATTTAGAATGTTTTAGATTCTAAACAGTAGTGTATAGGATTTCCTAATAGCGCCCCCATGCGCGCTCACGATTCTACGGAAGCCGGCAGACCAAACCGGAAGAAAGTGCGCATTCAGCGTCTGCTCTGCCGATAATGCAAGCATAGAAGAAGAAATGTGCTGTTTACCTGTGCAAAGAAAGAAACAACGAAAGAAAAATGTCTGAGGACTTGAGTGTTGAGGAAGAGCATGAGTTCTTTGCCGAGCTGAATGCGCTGGTTTGGTCTGCCGGCTTCCGTAGAATCGTGAGCGCGCATGGGGGGCGCTATTAGGAAATCCTATACACTACTGTTTAGGCTCTAAAACGTTCTAAATGACTTCGTTTCGAGTAAATTCTGGATGCTACCCACTCAGGACACTTGGATTACATTGGACGAGCAGTATGGAGGAATATTGACACGTTTTTGTGGACTTTTATGGACCTTTCTGTCTCGGGCGCCATAGACCTCCATTATTTGAATGTCAGCAGACAGCAAGAAGCCTCCCAGATCTCCAGATGCATTTGAGATATCAAAAAAGTACTCCAGAGTGTTGTTCAGCATGGGGGTGAGTAGAAAATGAAGGCTAATCATGTTTTGGGTGTACTATTCCTTTAAAGCAGCGGGTTTGGTGAGCATGGGTAATGTCAGTGTTGCTGCTTGATCAAAGGAGAGGTTTTGTATTGAAGAGCAGGGAAAAGTTGTGAAAATCACCTTTTTTATATTTGAATTTTATTAATAGAAGTTTAATTTATAGGTGAAGAAAGGGAGCACAGCTCAGACAAACCTTCGTTTAAACCATTTAGGTTTTTTCCAAGGTTTAACCTGCTTTCTAAAGGTTTGATAAACCTTACTTTTGATCTGCAGAACATCTAAACAACAACGGCATCTCTCTGCTCTGATCCACCTTAGTGGTTCTTCAGTCTGGTCTGCAGAGCCCCCTACCTCACCAGATGTTTGTCCCTGAAAATTGCTGTTTGGCTCAGAGATGAGTTTATGGGAAAGTGTAAAAGTGGGGCTGCAGTCCAATCAGGAGACTGGTTTTAATCACACCAACCTCAGCCCTGTAGTGCCTCTGAAATGAGTCACCAGGCTAGCTGTCGCCAGCAGAGACTGAAGCCATTAAACCTTCTTGGAGGCCTCCTTCTTGAATTCATTTTAAACTTTACTGGGTACCAGTTAAACTGACATACCTCTGCAGCTCAAATGAATCCTGCTTTTACTTTCAGTTTTATGAACATGCTGAACAAGTGAAAGTTTTTAGGACAGGTCACTGGTTCTGTTGGAGGTGTGTTACTGTAAAAATGTAATTATTTCTCCCCACTATCATTGCATGCATGCCAGGGCATGTGTGTGCAGCCGAGCATGGAGCGAGCAGTGGAAGAGCGCAGGGCGGTTTTCAATTCAAAGGATTTCGCTCCACTCCAGTTCGTTTCCGGAGCGCACACAATGTCAGTTAAAAATGTTGGATTATAAAATTAGTAAAATAACATTTATTTGATTTAAGTGTTTTTTTTTTTTTTTTTGCTATACTTAACTATACAGAGTGGGTTTACATAAAGTGGTCATTTTAGTAAGAGCCTGTTTTTTAAAATGGATCACATACATACATTATACGCTATTCTCTTAATGGGATGCGAAGTTACCTTTTTTAATGTAGTGTAGTAAATAAATTAATTATTAAATAGGAAACGCGGCACAGAGAATTTTTCGATTGGAGCGTCCTGGCGCAACTTTGAGCGGCGGTGCGAATGAGTAAACATCCTCCTGAACGGGGCTCCGTTCACATGCTCTGATGCGTGCTCTGTGTTTGTTGCAGAGCAAACAACACAATACAAGCCTGGATGCAATCATCTGGGTTTCCTCGGTTAGGAAAGTTTTCACCACTCTGTCTGTTGCATTAATCTAAGTTTCACTGGAGTTTTTGGTGCATTAACCCCAATAAATTAATTTATGCCAGGATGAAAAACTTAGAGACTAGCAAGATGTCAAGAACATCTCAGAAAGAGGAACTGAGTTTTTGATTATGTGGACCACAGACTAGTAAAAGCTGTTTTAATGGGAGCTGACACCAAAGAGCAAGTGTTGGTAACATGAGTGAAGCACCGGTGGTAGAAGGCCTAAACTTAAACAGTATAGCCAGTATAACCCGGTCCAATTAAAAACAACCACAGCGCTGACCAAAGTGCTGTACCGAAAAAATAAAACGCAACAGATAAAAAAACAAATCAGCTAAAAAATAGGTAAAAAACAAATTTTTTTTTAAAGTGTCTATATCAGGGGTAACCAATTAAAAATCAGCGGGGTCCGGTTAAAGAAAATCATCAACCAGTAAAAGTCCGGAGACATTTTTAATTAGAATCTGTTACCTAATTATTACTTAATTATTACAGAATTTAACACTGAAATAAAATGGAGTTATTATGCATACATGTTGTATATTGACTTTTATATATATATATAAAAAAAATATATAAAACATTTTAAAATCTAAAGTGTTTTTTGAAGTCACTCAAGCACATATCAAGGTGCTCATTTTGAGCCTGAATCCATATTTATTTTTGATTCTGTTCATGGAGGAGAATCCTGCTTCACAGCAGCAGGTTGAGTCAAACATACTCTAAATGTGCAGGGTCATCTTTGAGCACGCTATTGCACTTTTATGTCACCAGTTCACCACGCTTCTTCCAGCAGTCCATACTTTCTTTCACGTTTTCTCATCATTGTTACCCATCACCTGGCTTGCCACAGGTTTGCCTGCTGTGTCTAAAAGTAGCAACATCAGCAACCCAGACTGACAGCAGCTCATTGGATCATTTGTATCACATACAGCCTGTTGCTGGAGGGCTTTACCGTACAAACAGGAGAAGCGGCGCAAGTGAAGTTAGACACTGCCGTCTGACAACATTGGATAAATTATAAATGTTTTAAATCAGGTTGGGTCCGGATTAGCCAGCAGGTGGATCTGGATCCAGAAAGCGGTCCGCTAATCCATGACCTCTGCTCTATATCATATAGAATCCACCTGTAAGAACTATTTATATTGTTGTAATGCTCTTCTTGATCAAAATCAGGCCCAAAGTGGTATTGATGATGCGTGTCTGAGTTGACACTATTTGCAGCAGCTCCTTCCTGTCCTGGAAAACAAATCTCCATCACTGTTTCATGTAGCGCAGTGGTTAGGCGCCCTCTCCAGGAAGCACCTACAGTAACCACGCTACGCCTGCCCTGTAAACCACACACCCACTTTCTCTGATCTGGGAGCAGGGATGTGAGCCAGGATATGATCATTTAATTATATCACCAAACAGGATGGAGTCTAATATAATGACTCCATTAAAGCTTTAGAAATAATTAGCAGTGTGTAATAGACTCAAGCAACTAATGAACCTCTGCTGATGGAGATCTGAGGACATTTAAAATGCTCAAATCTATACAAAGAAAAGTGTAAACAAATGTTTTTAGTAATGAATGACTTTTATTACTGTTTTAAAGCTATAAACAGAATATATCCATTTTATGCAGCATTTTTGTTTGTGATAAGCCCACATGTCTAAGTCTAAGTCTAAGTCATGTGTCCTGTTTGATCCCCCCTGTGCTCGGTCACAGCCAGGTAAGGCTGTCCCCTCCTCTCTGAACCACTAATCAATCTCAGCAGGGCTTTTCTCCTCTGTGTTTGTGTTTGGGCCTTTGTAAAGCCATTAAACCCCTAATTTGATTTAGAGACTCCCGCTGACTGCCCACTTCTCTCACTGAGCTGTTGTTGGAGCTCTGAGGCTCATGGAAACAAATGCTGGTCTAATTGAAACATCTGACCACATAGATGTTTGATCTGCCATGAGCCTTTGGGTAATAAGAAAATAGATTTCATTTGTTTATGTTTGATCAGATCATTGGAGAAACTCCAGATTCTCTTAGAGTTAACCTGTTACCTTTCACTTCCTTTACCGACCCACTTTGCTCCATCAGGCTAAGGTTACACCCTCTCTGGAGGACCAGTTATATTCTCTTCATGTTTTTCTCATCTGTTTCTGGGAGGCTGGATTTGATTAGCCTTCAGGTTTCTTAGTGTTCAGAAATCCTTTAGTGAAGTTTGTTCCATTATTTTTGCAAGCAAAAAAACATGTTTAGTAAATGTAAATAAAAAAAAGAAAATTTAAGCATTGGCATACACATTTTTTTTTCAAATTGTTTTTATTGAAGCAAATGGTAAGATAATCACAATGAGGAATACAGTTCGCTTTTTTTGTGTGGATAAACATATACTTATGCAGGTGTAACTTCTAATATACATAGACAAGTACACATGTTGAAATAGTCACACCTACTACATATACAAACAATAAAAACAAAACAAAATAAGAACAATAAAAGGAGAGAACAAAACATCCCATTCCCACCCTGTCTCAGCCCAACATGTTCAGCAGAAAAATTAAATAAATAATAATGATAGAAGAAAAAAAATCAGCAAAATGCAGCAACAGGCACATATATTAAGTTAGGTAGGATCTCCAAATTAGAAAAATAAGAAAGAAAACACTGCCATTTTTGGAAAAAATTGTCTGTACATCCTCTCTTTGTATATTTAATTGTCTCAAGTCTAAGGAAAAACACCATGTCCTTAAGCCACTGGGCGATGGAGGGATATCTAGCAGACTTCCAGAGTAATAATAATGAACATCTTGCAATTAAGGATGTAATTGAATTTAATACAACTGAGGAATCAAAAATTCCAAATATGGCAGTCAGTGGACAAGGCTGCAGATTAACTCTGAGAATAGCAGACATAACTGTGAAGTAACCAGACCAAAAAAGCAGCCAGGTCAGGGCAAAAAAAAACAACAACATATGACTAAGATGACACGGAGAATCCTGACACTTATCACATTTGTGTTCAATTTCTGGATAGATTTCACTGAGTCTGGACTTAGAGAAATTGACTCTATGAAAAACTTTGAATCGAATAAAACCAAGATGAGCACAAGAGGTAGTAGACCGTATTCTGTCAATTGCTGGCATACACATTTAAGAAAAGATCCAATCCAGCAATGAAGCTTTGAAAAACATTTTAAACCAAAAGAGTTTCTGAGAGTAACTTTGCTTTTTTCTCAATTTAGTTATTTTATTTTCAGATTTTTTCAAACATGTTTCCAAAGTTATATTTATCTAATATATATATATTTTTAAAGTTTCCTGTTTTTAAACTGAGTTTTAGTAATTACAATATTTTCAAATTTTGTTTCATATTTCCTTTCACTTGAAGCCCAAAACAAACTCGCTTTTAATCACAGATTGAAAGTGGAAATGTTATTAATGTTCATGCAGAACTCCAGAGAAAATGTTACTTGCTTTGTTAACATTTTGCTATAAAATGTTAAAATGTTATTTAAAAAAAAAACAATCAATAAAAATCAGAAATTAAAAGTATTTAAAATATAAAAATCTTAAAAAATAAAGTTTAAACAAATAAAAACAAAAAAAAACTAAAATCTGTTTAGCAAAAAACAAAAATGTAATAAATCAAAATATAAAAAGATAAATTTGATTTAAAAAAAATAATATTTCCTTTTGTTTCATGTTTGCCTGCCCTCCATCAGAGCCATGGAGGGACGTCGTTCCTTTACAGGGTCTTTAAGTGTTAGCAGAGCCTGAGAGAAATGTTAGCAACATTTCAGCCCTTAGGTATGAATTCAAATTGAAGAGAAATGTCATCTCATAAGAAACACAATGTAGAGTAAATCCTCTATAAAAAGAGCAACTTTTGAAAGAGTTTGACCAGATGGATTTTTTAATGCAGGACCATTTCTCCTCCAAAAAGTACAATCTTTTGTTCTTGTTTTGACTCGTTACCCTTCTTCATCAACAGAGGAGAAATATTTGACTGTCCAGCCGTACACCAGCCAGGGGGCGGATGAAGTGAGCTTTGAGAAAGGGGTCACCGTGGAGGTAATCCAGAAGAACCTGGAGGGCTGGTGGTACATCAGGTGAGTCAACCAGATTGAAACGCACCTGTCTGAAGATGATTGTTACCTTAAACTGGGTTATGGGATGTTCCTCTGTGATTCTGAGGGCACTAGATTTACACCCATATATCTGCTCTTAATAATGGAAGTATTTTAAAACATGTTAATATGCACCAACTTTGTTAGGATTAGTTTTTCTTTTTAACTACTATTAATATTTTCTTACTCTGCTTACAAACTTTTAGAGTAGGTGTATGTTTTTATCTTCTGGATAATTGTACATATACCTGTTTCTTTTAAGTGTCCAATTTTAGTTTGCACCCAGTTCATATTAAAGTAAATTAATTTGGCGTAGGTCAAATATTTTATTGTGAAAGAAGTGGGAGACAATCTTGTGTCGAAATTCTGGATCGCCGCTCTCAGAGCTCCAGCAATTATCATCAGCAACTTTCTGTACAGCTGTGCAATTCATCCGCTGCTGATCAGTGTCCTCTTTTTGGTCCTCAGCCATCGGCTCTTTTTTTTTTCTCTTTTCTTTACTTTAGCACAGATTTGGCGAGTCACTATGGCAACAGGAAGTGCCTTTTTCACACAAACTAAACATTTTCAAGCGGAAATAGCAAAAAAATGGGGATAGTGTTTAAAAGACAGAGCAACAGCTGCAAAGGAGAGGAATATGGAGAAGCAGAAGATTGCTGCATGAGTTAATGCTTTCATTTATATGTAGTCCTCTATGGCAGGCTGTTTTTATATTTCTTAAAAGATATCTCCTCTCTATTGTTTCATTTGTCTATCACTAAAAAGTTTCTTCCTGATCAAGATCACATTCCTAGATGGAATAGTAAAACCAGATTTACTAAAATATTTTTTTTTTGCAGCAGAAACTGAATTTCAGAAAGCAAAAAAACCCCCAAAAAACAAAACAAAATTGCACTAGTAAGAATTAAGTTTACAAATTTTAAGAGGCCGTTATGACATTTATGACTGAATATGTATTTATGAGATCTGAATTTTCTTTCTTTCTGATCAAAATGATACAAATTACAACCAGTAAAAATAGGAATATGGAGATCTGAAAGTCATTCTTGGCATCCAGATTTCGATAAGACATTCGAGGTTGCTTGAGAACCCAAATGCAGAGATCAGGAGGCAGAGTTGAGTCTTGCAGACTTACAGTAATAGGCAACTGAGGCAGAAATCCAAAAATACTGAGAAATAAAATGCAGATAACCAAAATGTCAAGGAGAACTCTAGTGGGGATCCAGAGATCAGAGAGACCAGGAATCAGCAAACACAACAAACCAACACTGAGTGACTGCAGAGGTGGAGTATTTAAGGGGAACAGAACAAAGGATGGACTAATTAGCTGAATATGGAGCAGGTGTGAGTGCAACTAACTAGAAGGAAGCCAAGTGGAAAGGAAACAAGCACAAGGAGACAACAGAGAGTAACTAAAGACTGCTTGAATGTAACGGAAAATAAACCAAAGAACAAAACAGAACAACTGATAACTGAAAACTGAAAAGTCAGAGTCCCAAATGGGGAGAAACATAACAGCCAAAGGTCAAAACAGGCAGCAACGCATCCCTGAGCAACAGATATTGGTGATATGGAGACGACTATAATTTCTGATAGCTGTTTAACACCATATGATTTTTCAGATGTTAAAATAATCAGTTATAGCTTGGTATAATGTGATTCAATGTTAATTAAGCAGTGGCATTTAAATCATTGGTATTTTATCAATTTTGTAAACATTGGTTAATTCAAGTCAACTACTGTGTAGTCTGTATAATTTTCCCTTATTTATAAGGTCAATGCATTTCTGCAGGGCAAGTGCAATAACCCAAGTCAGCTACTTTGTAGTCTTCCCTTAGCTCTTTACTTAGTAGATATTTTTATATTTGAGGGAAATATATTCCTCTTTTGGTACTATATGCACTGTTTTTATATTGTTTGGTACATTTCTATCTTTAATTGCATCTTGATTTAACTCTTTGTACTCTGCATAAGCTACTTGAACCTGAATTTCCCTGAAGGAGTATTCCCAAGGGATAAATAAAGTTGAGTATAAGTCTAAGTCAAATTGGTTAAAATTGGGTGATTGACTGATGGCTGATTATTAACCAAAAACAAATTTTGACCATAATTCAACATTGACTTTACATCTTTTTCTTTCTGAGTACCTGTAGTTGATTTTATCTAAGTAAGCCAATGATGTGGTGCATTATAAGCCAAGTAACCTTTATTTATACGGCTCTTAAAAACTATGTGTATCAAGTTTGCAATTACTATTTAATACACTGTGCAATAGTTACTTATAATCAATTATACATTAAATTCATTACTCTGAGTGAAAATGTGGGAATTATTGTGATTTTTTTTCCCCATGTAGTCACATCCTGATGTCAAGATAAAACTATTTTCTTTATTTTAATTCCTTGTTCTCTTGTCTTTCATGTTTTCATTCTAATTAAATTTATATGACATGTATTAATTGTAACCCAGTGTTACGGAGACATTTATTATAACCAATCTCCTAAAGAACATGCAGCATCAATTGCTTTATTTACATACACTTTATTTGCAGAGCTTTTCTAATTAACAAAGAAAAAACAATCAGCAAGATGGGAATAAAAAAAACATCTTTTTGTCTGTTTCTCCAACAGATATTTAGGGAAAGAAGGATGGGCCCCAGCTTCCTACTTAAAGAAACTAAAAGATGACTTCTCGCCTCGCAAAAAGACCCTGACAGGCCCCGTGGAGATCATCGGAAACATCATGGAGATCAGCAACCTGCTGCAGAAAAAGTCGGTCAGCGAGAAGGACATCCAGACAGACGCGGAAGGAGGCACCACGCTGGAACGCCACATCAACAAGAGCGAGATCAGCCTGCCCATGCCCTACAACTCCGAAATCAATGCTGAGACGGGCAGGAGGCTCAGCGCCGGCCGGGACACCAACAGCCCCTGCCTGGGGATAGCCGCCAGTTCTGCTCTCAGTGAGAATAAAGCCAGAGGAGAACCCGGGTCCCCAGCTGTAGCACGAGTGGCTCCACACAGAGTGGAGATAGGTGAGGGTTTTTGTGGATGCTGAAGCCGATTTCATTTGTTACTTCTATCTAGTTATTGACCCTCAGTAAAATGAAAGTAGGGGCTGTCTTTTTGTGTAAAAATAATGGATGCCATCTGTTCTGTGTAGGCTTCGAAGCTGTAGGTAAGAATGACTTGTGTGATTTATGTTTGCTATGCTAACCTGCATGGAGATCTAACCTGATGATTATTTGAGGATTTGTGGGTTTTAATTCCTCTAAAAAACTAAGATTGGCTCGAATGTATTGGTTTTTTTTTTCTTGGTTTAATTGCTGCTCTGTTACTCTGGCCAGACTGAGAAGTTTTATTATGTTCTTCAGGGTCTCCAAATCTGAGGCAGAAACCTCCTCCGAGAAGAGAAGCCAACCTGGTGAGACATATCACTACTAACCTAACCAAAGAAATACAAACATTCTTCTTTTTAATTTTGTTTTTGACTACTAGATAAACAATTTAACCAGTTTTACATTTTGTTGAGTGGGTCCATCTCCTCTACCCTTTCCTAGGGCCTTCAGTTACCCAAGCCACCAGAGCCCCCTGCTGTGGAAGCGGAGTATTACACCATAGCAGATTTCCAGTCCTCCATCTCTGATGGCATCAGTTTCCGTGGAGGACAAAAGGCTGATGTAAGAGGACAGATACAGAGTGTTGCTGCAGAGATGAGAGAGAGCTGATTGCATATGTATGTCAGCTGTGTGCGACCTTGAGACGTGTTTAACGGGATCAGGTTGAGAGTTTTCTCTGTGGAGACTCGGGCAGAAAGATAAAGACACCATTTGAGATACCTCAGGGGGTTTATAGGAGGAGTTGGGATTATAAAAAAACACATTAAACATCATGGGGGTCGTCTGTTCAGGCAATTTATTAGCATTTAATAGGATATTAGTGCTGCCAATTTTTTTTAACCCATTTACCAATTAGCTTTCTGATTTGAAGATTTGTCTGAATTTGTTTTTTTTCCCTTCTGAACTGTTTGCTTTGTTTTTTACAAAAAAAACTTTATTGTATCCAAGAAATTTGAATGAATTAGGTTAATTTCAATTGCCTCAATTTAAAACACATTTCATCTGCAGGCTCTTTATACAGACAAATCAAATTATGCAGACATATTGGTTCAAAATGTCCATCTAAGGAAAACCAGCTTATTGCTACCAGTCTTTGCTGGATCGGTTCATCCTGAATGAGCTTGTAGAGCAATTAGATATTCACATGTACTTTGTTGTTGACTCTACAGCAATTATGCAGTGACAGTAGAGAGGAAAGCCTCCCTTTTAACAGGAAGAAACCTCCACTGGAACCTGCCTTAGTGTCAGCGGACTTCTGCTGACTCATGGTTCAAGGAAAAAGACGCAGACATACAGAAAGAACATGGAAGCACTGATCTATGCATACTTTCTATGTTAGAAAGAGTAAAACTAAACTAGCTCCATGGTTGGCTCTGTCTAGTAAATAAACATGTAAGATATGCGAGTGAGTTCTAAGCCAGTGTTCATGTTGACGGGATAAAAGGAAGTAAATAGAGTTAGACGCAGTACAAGCTGAGCCCAAAGCCAGGTGTGAGAAACAGGACTAAGCAGTAAAAAATGAGCACAATTCTATAATCACACTGCAAGAAATTTATATCTAAATAACTCATTTTTTCTTAAGATAAGTTCATTTTTTCTTGAGGTAAGTGAGACACTTTGCCAATGTAACAAGACACTTTGCAATTAAAATAAAAAATCTTTCCCATTGTCTTATTTAAAGTGCATATTATATTATTGTTTTATTTTAAGAGTAAAAAATGTCATTCCATTGGCAAATCCTCTTATTCACAACTCAAATTAAGGGTAAGTACACATCATTTAAGGAATTTTTTACTTATCTCTAGATCCTTTTTGCAGTGCAGAGCTGTTGATGGCAGCAGCCCAGCTGATATTTCTCTCCAGGATGGTTCCACAGCCAAACAGGAACAGACCAGATGAAGCTACTATGATGAGGAAAAGCAGAAAGAACAACTAATTTTGGATTTAAACGAACAAATACTGCAGAACATGAGAAAAAGAGACCAAATGAAGCAGACTGATGGAAAGTGGCCCCTATGTCCTCTAGCAGTCTAAGGCTATAGCAGCATAACTATAGAGATAGCTAAAAGATAACTAAAAGATCTGCCTCCCAGATCCCAGGAAGGAGATGTAAACAAAACCCCTATAACTAAAGGTCAGATATTCTAAGAATAGATATAAAATAAACCAAGGGAGGTCTCCATTCTACACAAATAAAAAGAAAAATTAATCGTTTCTGTTGCAGCTTTTCTTAAATTGTCTTGCATTAGGCATATTTAGGAAGAGACAACTTGTTGAATTACTGAGCGGATCAGATAATAAAAAAGATATTTATCTGCATGAGTGTCAGAAATGTTTATAATCACAAGTTACTTTGACTACTTTGACACAGGTTTCTGTTGTTTTGCAGGTTATAGAGAAGAACCCAGGAGGTTGGTGGTATGTGCAGATTGGGGAGATGGAGGGCTGGGCCCCCTGCTCATACATCGACAAGCGCAAGAAGCCCAACCTCAGCAGACGGAGCAGCACTCTGACTCGACCCAAGGTTCCCCCGCCAGCTCCTCCGGTGAAAAAACAGGACTCTGAGGAGGCTCCTCAACATCAAAATCCTGTCATTAAAGCCCCAGAGCAGCAAGGCAGACAAGTGTTTGAGGAACCGGAATACGATATCCCTGCAGTCGGATGTGAGGGCGAATCTGACGCTGAGTTTCTGAAGAACGAGCGCTCTCAAGAGCTGAAAACCAACAATGCGGTCACCGAAAAGTACCATAGCTCCCCTCCTTCAAGTAAAGCTCCGGCTCCAGTATGTAAAGCATCCCCGGTTTTCGCTCATCGGAGAACCTCGTTCAGGTCTGTGGAGGAGGTCAGTAAAGAGGAATGTATCTATGAAAACGACGGCTTCAGGCTGAACAGTGGGAGTGAAGGAACCAGAGTTAAAGGCTCCAGCGAACCCAGTTCCCCTCGGAGCTACCATTCCTCAACAGTCCCACGGAAACCCTCTGGATCTTCCCCTTTAGCTGGTTTATCCAGGAAAACCGTCACCCCAGTGATGAGCAGAAGAAGCCAGACTCTAGGCAGACATGTAGACATGCGGTCTCAGGACAGCAGCCCTCACTCTTCATCCGACGAACAGGGTAGAGGAATAAAGAATAGTCCTGCCCTAAAACGAGATGTGGAAACAAGAATTGGCCAAAGCCCGTCCACCAGACCCAAGCCCTCTGTCAGACCTAAGCCCCTCCTGACCAAGTCAGAACCCCAGAGTCCTGAGAGAATGGACATCAGCTCTCTGAGACGGCAGCTAAGGCCTGCCAGTCAGTATCAGCACAGCCTCAAACCGACCCGTGGAGACGACTCGGAAACAGCCTCTGTCATCTCCTCAGAGGGCTCCATGTGTTCCCGCAGTACGTCTGATCTGTCCTCTGTATACTCTAAAGGGAGCCGAGGTGACTCAGACATGGAAGGCCCAGCTGTGTACCGCTCTGTAGATGTTTACAAGAAGGTCCAGGACTCTGAGATCAGCTTTCCAGCCGGGGTGGAGGTGGAGGTTCTGGAGAAGCAGGAGAGTGGGTGGTGGTACGTCCGCTGGGGCTCAGAGGAGGGCTGGGCTCCCTCCTACTACCTTGAACCTGTCAAGAAGATGGCTGATGTCAGCATGTTGGATTCGAACGGAAAGAGAAACGGGGGCAAAAAGTCCAATAGCCTGGAGAAGAATGAGCAGCATGTTCTGGCTCTGAACAACATCAACATTCAGGGTCTAACCCAGCAGCACCAAGGTCTGAGAGGGAATTCTCCACCAATTCCTTCAAAGCCCCCAGGAGGGTTCTCTAAGCCCTCTGGATTGGTAAACGGAGGTGTACGGATGAGGAACGGCGTACGGCAGGTGGCGGTGAGACCCCAGTCCGTTTTTGTGACCACATCACAGACGTCTAAGGATTCCCACTACATGACCGGTTCCTTGAGAAGAAACGAGTCCCTCGGCAGAAGCGACCACTACAGCTCCGGTTCAGCAACTCTTGGAGTTCGCAGGAATGCCTCTTTCAGTACCGTCCGTCCACACGTCGTTGTCGAGAGCCAGACGAGGCCCGTTGAGCGCTCCGGACTGGGCTGCTCAGGAAGCGCCTTCAGCACCAACAACGTCCCGGACGCCCTGAGCAGAGTCAGCCAGCGCAACGGGATCCCCGTGTCCACCGTCCGCCCAAAGCCCATCGAGAAGAGCCAGCTCATCCACAACAACCTCGGCAGGGACGTGTACGTGTCCATCGCAGACTACCGTGGCGACGAGGAGACGATGGGTTTCACTGAAGGAACATATCTGGAGGTGTTGGAGAGAAACCCCAATGGATGGTGGTACTGCCAGGTACAGGACAGCCTGCTGCCCCGCAAGGGCTGGGTCCCGTCTAACTACCTGGAGCGGAAAAAATAGAACCAGGAGCTTCACTACAGCTGATGTCCTCATTAAGCCAGGGGCGGAGAGTCCCTACGAATGTTAACCACAATCCCCCTGAAGCAATATGTCCTTGATAATGTACTTATGAAAAGGAGGAGAAGGAGATGGAAGGGATGTTTTTTAGTGTTGGTTTACAGATAAGTTTTCAGAGAATGAGAGAAACTAGACCTAAAACTTGAAGACCTTTGAGGCAGCAAGGCTGTGGAGGACATTGATGTACCGAGGAAGAGCGAAACCTCTTAAAGCCAAGCAGGATACTGGCTCGCTGATAACAATGGCCAATAAGTGCCTTTTGTGTTTGACCACCCGGCGGCAGAAATTTGAATCAACCAAATCTTTTTTTTTTTTTTTTCAATGAGTGCCATAGTCCTGCGAACACCACCAAGAGTATTACCATTAGCTATTGAGAGATCCGTTATTGAGTCCAAACAGTTTCTGTCCAGAATCCAATAACTGGCCTAATGAACCAAATGAAGAACATTAATTCATTAAGGAGATTTTGTTTTTTCATGAATGCCTCTGTTATATTGTTGCGTTTGATGCAAGTCTTCCTCTGAGAATTATTTCTGCCGTCTTGAAACATCTGATTGAAGTTCAAGCTAACTCTGAACAAACAAAAAGGGTTGAAAAAATGTTTATGTTTGCACAAATTGGCACAAAGCGATGAATACATTCCTCAAAGATGTGATGATCTTCAGATATATACTATATATAAAAGCTTTTTCCTTTAAGACCAAAAACCCATTGCAAAATAATTACTTTAAAAAGAGTTTTAGCTCCAGGATATTTTGGTTTCTGATTGTATTTTTGTTTTTATGTGCATAAAATAAAGCTGCTGTTGGTGCAAAATGTCAAATAAATGCTGGAAGTGAGAAATAAAAATATCCCAGGGACACACTAAAATGTGAACACACCAAAGAGGAGCTTCTTTTCATTGGGAAAAAACATATTTTTCTGTATTATCTATTATTTATGGATTAAATTGGAACGCATTGAGTATTAAAATAAGGACACTTTTACTTTGTTCCTGGAATTGACTTGAGCTGTTTTCACAAAATTATAAAACCAAGGAAACATTATATCAAGATATTTAATATTGGTTTCTCTTACATTTATATTAGTTTAGACGCTTTTATTCAGTAAAGTTTCTTAATCTCCTTAAATAAAACTTAGCAATTATGGAAAAACACATCATATGAATATCCCACCACCAGAGTTATTATTGAACTTACAGATTTATTGACTGATGTTCAAGACTGCTGAAATACATTTTCTAACACACCCTTTAGGCTACATGTGTGTTTTATTTTATTTATGTTTCTGCTGGACAGTATCATAATCCTTAACAAAGTACATTAACTGCTCAAAGTTTATTTCAACAAAACCATACCATTATTCTTTGCTCTGTGATCACACAACGTCAATAATGAAGAATGAAGTTGTTCTGTTTTGTGAAATTAATGCACTTTAAAACATTTTTTTATGGTGCATTAATGTAAAGATGCAGTAAGTACTCAGCATATTATTTATTACATATTTTTTGTTTAAGTATTTAAATATTTCAGCTCCAATGCTGCGTCAGCTGTTTTGGTACAATTGGTGAAACAGAGACCTCTTGTGGAGGCTGTGAGGTACTACATCATTTGCTACCTCAGTGCAAAAATAAAATGCACTGCTGGTCAGTGAGTATCTCCAAGAAATCTTTATTGTTCCTTTTAATCAAAGTGCAGCTAAATTTACTTGATTAATTTGTTACTATTTAATTTCTCTTATCGGGCACTAATTTATTTTCATTTATTTATGCTGTGGCCTGCAACTTTAGCAAATCACGAGCACTTCTTTCAGCTTTATTGGTCTTTACATAATGCCTGATTTAAAGCATATTTATTATGAGATTTAGATTTTTTTTTTTTTCTTGCATGATTTGACAGTCAGCATATTCACTTTGTTAAAGGATCTTCCCATCAGAATGATCTGACTCTCTGCCTCATTCAGAGTTTAATACTATATCGCAAGGGATGGTGTAATGGAAACAAAGAATTATGGATGGATGGAATTGGAGTTTGGTTTTGTAGGAATAAGGGAACTTTTCCTCCCTGCTTTGCTGATCTTTTAACCTCCAGCCTTCATGAGTTACCATTATAGTTAAAAGTACAAGATCCTGATATCAAGGCACTGAAATTAGGTTCCTTCAAGCAAGGATTCAAAATGAAATGGACTTGGTTTCCAGTGTAAAGGATCTTTTTTATTGTCACCCTTTACAACCATCTTTATAGGGCTTTAATGTGAAAAGTCAACACTGAGTAAAGCATAACTGCTACGTGGAAGGAGGTGTAGGCTTTGCACACTATGTAATAGAAGCGATTAGAACTCTATGCTGAGGGCCTCTGGCTATCTGCTGCCCTTACCTTTCATCCTAACAAGCAACCAATCATTAACGGCTTCTAGTGCCATGAAACCCTAAAATTAATAACCAGAAAGGTGTTAAACACATTTTATTGCAGTTACTGTAAAAAATATGGAAAATTGTTTTTCTTTCCAAATGAGCTCAGTCTAACTGGACATTGACTCGGCCATTTTAGTACCTGTATGGGCTTTGATTGTAGCTCCAGTCTTAATATTAAGGGTTGTTGGAAGAGGAACCGTTGCCCTAATTTGACAGATTTTACCCATAATTGGATTTCCACTTATTGCCCCTCTGATTGGGTTATAGATTAGATCATGTTTTGGATTTTTGTGTTGAAACTTCTATTTCTACTGCATCCTGCTATCAGATTCTCCCACCTGAGCCTTGAATCTCTGCAGCTCTCGACCATCAGTGCTCTTCTTACTCACCATCTCCACTTAGAGGGAATTTTAGACCAGGGCTCTGCAAAGAGCCATTTGGTCACAAGTCCAGCTAAATAAAAGTTGTTTAGAGCTGCAAAAATGACATGACCTTTTCATGAAACTCAACTTATTTTCCTTTGCAGAAAAGTTGTTAAATTTCACAACAGACAGCAGTTTATTTTCATTTCTTAGTTTTTAAATCAGTAAGAATAAAGTAGAAACACATATTTTATTCGACAGGATTATTTAATGTCCAAAAAAAAGAACAAAAAAAAAACAACAACACATAATTTCCAAGGTAATTACAAGACAAATAGACTTGAAAACATATTCGGTTGTAAAAATTCCCTTCAGATGTTCTCAAAACTTCTAAGGTATATGTTATTATACTATTTTGAAAGCTATTAGGCTCCCATAGAGCCACTTGTGGCTCAACAGCTCCAGGTTACAGATGATGGTTTGACCGGAGGTTGTTCTGGAGCCTAATGCCGCCCTGCTCATTGATCTTCATGATCCTGTTTTTTCTCTACAATCATAACAAACCAGAATCAGAACAGCTGCTTACTCAACTTAAACGTCTCTGATGTGGATCCTGAGCTTCTAAAAGTTCTACATTCATGCTCTACTTAGTGTTGGCCTTTTTACATGAACCCATATGCCTCCCAAAAGCATCAAGGTTTGGATGATGACAAACTGTAAAAAAAAAAAAGAAATATATGGGTTTTACCTTTTTGATCTAAACCATGATAGGCTGGGATTAATTTGGACTTTAAGGGAAAATAAACATCCAGATTTGATTTAGCCTTTTAACTGAAACCACAGTGAAGATGCTGATTGGTCCATTTAAGACGAAGGCATTATGTAACGTGTTGAATCACTCGAGCTCATTTTTACGTCAGCATATCGCTTTGTTTGATCGCTTTGAACCTTTTGTTTAAAGGGAATATTTCTCTACCAAATCTTCAATTGTTTGTGCAGCATTTATCTACGCTTTAAATTTCTCCCCTGTTTCTTTCTTTTTTCTTTTTTTGTATTTGTCAAAAGTTGAAATGTAACCCGTGAGGATATGTGCAATAGACAGAACAGTGCTGCAGATGTCTGCTGTGGACTGATGTCCTGGATCTGACCGCCGGTGCTGAGCTTGTCTGAAATAAAAACACATCGGACCAAAGCAGGAAGATCTCTTCTGAAACTCACTCCGGAGTCACATCACATCCATCTGGCAGCCTCTCCACACTCGGAGAACCACGGGCCCTGTCTTTAGGGGGCCCTCTGGGGCCCCCCTGCTTTGAGCTGTCACATTTGTGCCTGAATGGACTTTTGATTTATTTCATGTGTGCTTGCTATTTGTTTTTTTTTTCACCCTCCCTCAACCTGCAGAAAGTCTCCGCTGACATTTCCCCCCTCCCGTCGCTGTCAGACCCAGTCAGAGCTCCTCGCAGCCGTTCGCCACAGTAAAGGTGACATTTGGAAGCGCAGGTGATGGCGCGTTTGCTGACGTCAGCTTCAGAGGCCGTAAACAAAAGACCTGAGAGATGTTTCCTCCTCCAGGCCATTTCAGTTCAGCCCATCAACCTCCTGGATGTTCACCAAAGAGGAAAATCTGTTATTTTTCTGAGCGCTGCGTCCCCATAGGCTGCACTGATGTGCTAGAGGTCAGGGAGCAAAGCTTGTTAGGGGCCAGAAATCCTCTAGTTTAAGTCCAACTCAAGTTAAATGAAGAGCTGGAAACCATTCTCAGGCCTGAATGTGGATGATGTCCTCTAAAGCATCTAGATTTAATCATCTAACAGTGAAGCCATAAATTCTCCAGTAAACACAAATAGAAATATGATCAACTTAGGTTAAACTAGTTTTTTCCCCCTAAAACTTTAGAAACGGTAACATGTTTATGGAAATATATTGTTAAACATTTTGCTGCTCAGAAATCTGAAATCCGGCTGCCGTATAACACAGCATCATTCATTTACATGAAAATGTTTTAAAGTATTTCATGAACATTTAGAAAAACTGAGCTGAATACTTACTTATACGCAGATTCACCTTAAGTTTTCAATTTAAAAAACATCCAAAATGTAATCAAACTTTGTTTTTCCCAGCTCTGCTGTAGCATCTTCATCTCACAGGATTCTTTCCTTCCTGGTTTGCGTCGAAGGAACTGAACCGTTCTTCCAGCTGAAGCCCCTCTGGTCTCGTCGTCTGGTTTGGGGTTTAAAGGAGAACTGGGAATGGTGCACAGCTTCTTTTCCATCCTTCAGTAATACCCTTACAGCTGCTGCTATATTGGATTTTATTTTTAGCACCGCCCCTCCACACAGTTAAGCTTCCTCTTCCTCATAAAGCTCCCTGGTTGTCTGTTTGAATGTTGTTCAAAGTGTTTTTAAAGAGATGGATTTAGTGAAGGTGTTTTCAGGTTTAAGTTGGAGGTAAAGGAGGGTAAGCAGGAGGGAGATGTAAGCATGTTGGTCTGGGTTCCTCATTCAAAGCTTTAAAACATCACTTACTGACTCTCTGAGTCCTTTACATGATTTAAATATGTCGGTTTAAAAAGATAAACACGAACGAACCGATCATGTTTGACTTCAGATTCTGCGTCAACCTGATTGGTTGTATGGAGCAAGTTTAGTTTCATTATTGGTGCAAGCAGATAACCTGTTTTGTAAATGAAAATTTGAACAGAAATATAAAGAAATGATTATGGAGTCCACGATCAACCAACAAACTACTATAGGGTTAAATCAGCCTGCCTCAAATATCTCCAATATTGGCTTCCTGGCAGAAAATCTCTGCTTCTGTTTCAAGTTAATTAACTATTTGGTTATTAATAAATAGTTCTCATACTCTTGTTCTTTATTTGAGTAATATCACTAATCAGGTGTTTTCTACCCCCAAACACTACAAAGTAATAAAAGTGTGTGTGATTCATGCCAATATCCAATCAGGTCAGTATCAGTATTGGCCAATACTCAAAGCTGCAATCACATATATCACATTGAGAATTAAAAAGTTTGAGATCTTATTGTTTTTTTAGATTATTTTTTATATGTTTTTCTCTAATTTTATTGTTTTTTAATATTTTTTTTTCAGATGCCGAAGACAATGTGATCTGTAAAAGGCTATTTGAAAAGAATGCAGGTCATTAAAATTGTATTTAAATAGAGACATTTGGAAAAATTAAATATGTAAAGCAAAAAGAAAATAAAAAAAAAATAATAAAAAAGGAATATAAGATTTGAAAAAAAATTAGATAAAAAATATAAACTGAAGAACTTCATTAAGAAAAAAAAATCCCACAACAGATTAAAAATAAAATTCCAAAACTCCGTTGTGAAAAAATAAAATATGGAAGAAAATAAATTGCAAAAATGAAATCAGAAAAACAGCAAAGATTTTTGTTTAAGAGTTTTTTCAAAGTTTCATTTCTTGAATCGTTTACGAATCAATGATGCAACAAATGATGGACGAAAAACTCACTCCGTCCTTTAAGAGTTAGTTGCTTTGTTGAGTATTACTGTGTTGCAGTGGATGTTGAAGGTTTATTGGTGAGTTATGACATAAAGATTGTAAAAGAAGGTAGCAGCGGGAGCAATTTGTACTGCAGGACACGCAGGTTTAGGAAGTGTGAGGATGGTTCTGCAGGTTTTTAACTCACTTTCTGTTTCCTGCAGAGAGATTCCCGTAGAGTCTCTTCCTAACAATTGGGGCAGAAAACCAATAAATTAGTTGTTTAAGTGAGCGCTCTGAGAGATTCTGGAAAGGGAGAAGCTGGAGCTCCTAAGGAGGACGAGGAGGAGGCTGTGTCAAGGAACGATGCTTTCAGCTGTGAATAATTTTTTTAAAATTAAAATCCTTGTTTTTAACTAGGAAAACAGTTTAATTCAATTAAAGCGCAGATTTTAATCCAGAAATCCTGATTCTGGCGCTGAAGGAGGATGGATCATGTAACAGAGCTGGTTTGATTTAAGTCTCTTTTCTGCATCTATGGTAGTGAACTCATCTCCTCCCTGCTTTGGAGCAGAGTGTGCCAAAATAATAAAATAAAAGAATGCAAGAAAGATCCTGCAGATCTGAGCTCCTGATCCGTAAATCCTGAAAGAAAACCCATTTAACCAGCCATGCTAACCAACAGCTGCAGGCCTTCAGTCGGACCAAACGAGGTGCTACTCTTCCTTGTTCCCTCCGTTCTCTTTCTCTGCGTTTGGTTGAAGCCTTTGCTGATTCCTTGTTTTCAAAGGACGTGCCATGAGGACCAAAAGTCCAGATTCCTTCCCGATCTGAGGCTTTTTCTTTTGAAAACAAGGCCATTTCTTATCCCAACCTTCATTTTGATGAGTCTCAATGTATTTCTCTTGTTTTGTATCTTGTACATGTTTACATTGTATCTGCCCAAAAGAGAAACAATATTAAATGTATTATCTTTGCTGTTTTCATTGGTCTCTTGCTCTTTATTTTATTTAGGCCTTTGCCCTAGTGTGTAGGAACAGAACCTGGCAGCATAGAGGGTTTATTTTCTGTGCAGATTTATATCAGTTTTATCCTCCACTGTCTAACTTTGGCACATAGCATTCACTTCATTTTAGATATCAAAACTTAAGAGGGTTGTATCTGTCGCTGAATAGGTCATGTGAACCAGAGAGCTGCTTTACAGCAGTCTGAGTCTCTTAAACCAAGCCTGCCAACCATCCATAAAACACAGAATAGTCCATTTTTGACAGTAAAGCATTGAGTCCCATATTGAACCAACAAGGATGTGATTTGTCCTGTATTTTCTTAAATATCCAACACACGTCCCTGACACACATTAGCATTTAATCTAACAAAAAATAAATAAATCACAGAAACTACTAAATAGCCTTATATAGCACTTTTTCAGGTGAGGAGGCTTGATCAAATCACTTTACATCAAGTCATTCACCGCTTCACTCACACTGAAGGTGGCACACTACGTTGTAGCCACAGCTACCCTGGGGCACACTGACAGAAGTGAGGCTGCTGTACACTGGCGCCACCAGGCCCTCTGACCACCATCAGTAGGCAATGCAGGTGAAGGGTCTTGCCTAAGGATGCAACGACAGTGAAAGACGAAGCCGGGGCTCAAACCAACAACCCTCCGATTGCAGGGCAAACTCCTGCATCCATCACCTGTTGACTAAAACCATCTGTATTATCCAGGTGCGATCAAAGCAGGCCATCCTCCTTTCTGCATCTCCTGCTGTCACAGTTGCTAAGAGACAGACTCCACTCACCCTGCTCTCCTTCTCTGTTACACCTGATACTTCACCCCATCTCAGAGCGAAACGCCTGCAAAAATAAAGACACCAGTCTGAAGAGGCAGAACCCGGAATGAAGATAATGGTTGGAACACCCCACTTGCAAGTGTTAGAAATAGGTTGGCTATTGGAAAAAGACATCTTCTTTGTACGGCTCATCTGGCTTTTAAGCAGGAGGCCTTCTGTGTGGACAAAGGTGGAGGTGCAGTGGGTTGTGAGCTCCAGCATTGAGTTTCATCACCTTTTGCCTCTGCAGTTTTTCCTCTGGACTGAGTTTATTGTGATGCCAAATATAGTATTTGTCATGCCGCTGTTCATAGTTTGTTGGGTTTCTCTTTGTTGATTGATATTCAAAGGCTAAGGGGAGGGTTCCTGCTTGTACTGTTATTTGGATTTAATTACCTAGGTTGGATCTGTTCTTGCTTTAGGAATGGAGTACCACCTAATGTCTCTTGCATTGTGAGCTACAGAAGACTTAATGCATTGTTCGTAAGAAGAAGCCACTAAATGTTGTTGATGTAATTAAAGTTAATAAAACACATTGTATGGCTAATTTCAATTATTAAGATGGTGAACAGGGAAAGAATGCAGGCATTTATACCTCTTTCTGTCACTAGGAAAGCCTTCCTATCGAGAAAATCATGAAAAACAAGTTTTGCATGGAGTGAAAGACATGCAGCCGAACATAGACATTTTGTATGAAACAGGTGTGAGCTAATGTACCATTATCGAAACCTGATCATTTAGAAATAATGTCTTGATTTGCCATTTCTTTCACTTTGAGCTCAAAGAACCACTGAGTACTGACTTTGCATGTGAAACACAATGTGTGGTGTCACCTAAATAGATGTTGAATGGAGAATGCAGGCATCGATCCCGCTTCCTCTCGCACGCTAAGCGA